AGGTCTTTCCACTTTGCTTGGCACTCAACTAGAACAGTGGTTCTCAACCTGGGCTGCACATCACCAGGGAAACTGGAAAATCCCAAGCTCATGACACAAGCCAGACCAATGAAATCAGAATCTCCTGGGGCTGGGGGTGTCTTCAAAGATTCCCAGGATATTCTAATGTGACCCCAAGGACCACTGATCTAGAGTAAATGTTTACTGATATCGAAGAAACATCTTTTCAGTGTAAATCAGTAGAAAGCATACAACAACATGATTGGAGCCTAGTCAATGTGAGGTCAACTTAGAAGATTAAGATTAAAAAGGAAATTGGGAATTGAAATGAAAGCAATAGGTCAGATAACTCAAACCAAAATAGTACTGTGTTTCAAACAGTTATCTGTATATTTGTTCTTTTATATTCAATCTAGTATGAAAATATATCTTAATGGATTATAATTTATTTGTGGGGGAGCATGAGACTGAGAAAATCATTTGATTTCCTTTCCTCCATATTTTAATTCACCTTGCATATGCAGACACCAATCTCATCTAACTAAAGTGATTAAAACCAAGGTATAACAGCAATTATTAAAACTTTGTGGTTATGCCCTATATAGCTACTAATTTGACCCAGTTACAAGTCCAAAGTTAAAAAAGAATAATCATTCTTTGGTCTATAAAGCAACAGCATATAATGTTAAGATAAAATTTGATAAAAATAGAATAAAATTAAGATAAAAATAAAACACATATCATAAATCAGTAGTTATATATGGAGCAAAAATATGAAAATGAAAATCTGGGTTATAAAAACAGTTATGAAAGTGGCTTTGATACTATAAATGGCCTTATTAATGGTTAATGGGATCATCTGAAGGTTTGGCTGTTTGATTTTACAGAGAAGCAATTCAACTATAAAAATATGATTTAAAAATAACACAGTGGTATAATATAAAAGAGATCTATTTGCAGACGTATTCCACACTCTGGACAGTGTCATAATATGTACAATAGCACTTAATCGAGTAAGAGCAAAATAATATTTTAGCTTCAATATTTAAGTGGAAAGAATTGTTAGATATTTTATTTCCTTATAAAAACTATTTTTAAGAATCTATAGTATATGACATCAAAATAAATAAGGACTTAAAAATGCCTTTTTTTTAACTTGCACATTATGTAATCCAAATTCTATGTCCTCAAACCGGTTAATGTTTCTGAGTCATTTCTGCAAACAATACAGAAAGCCCTGAGTATCACGATTGTTATATATGCCGAACACTGGCAGAGTATTCTTTTAGTCATTGTCTGTTAAATAAAAATAGGCAATATAATTTGCTTTAATACAAAATTATAATATAAAAACGTAAGAATGCATACATTCTTGATAGTATAAAGATTAGAATCTATTCGGAGATAACTAAAATACAGATGATGCAGTGATTTATGTTAGAATCTAATCTCACACCCACTTTCCCTGACCATCTGTCTTAAGGAATAGTAAGTCAATAAAACTATCATTAACAAAAGTTTAACTGTAACATAGACGTTTATATTCCCTACATATCCCAGTTTTGTAATATGTAATTTCAAGAATGCTTAGGAGGTAAAGAATGGCATATTTAAGAAAATATATTTAAGCAAAAATTCAGGCATGTTAATTACATATGTAATTCTGTAGCTTAGAATAGTGTATTTTTTAATATTACCAGCCAATTTGAAGATTTTCAGATTCTTATTGTATGTCAAAAACATTAGTTTGAATAACACCGCAAAATCCAGAGAAGAATTACTGTCAAATTTTTGCAACTTGATTTATGTAATATAGCAGCTTGAATGCTATAGTCTAAATGATACATGCAGAAGTTCTTGTTCTTTATTTTACTATAAGTTACTTCCCTGATAAAAGTGTATATTTACTTTAAAAATTAAACCAGCTATTTCTATGAATATTAAAAGATATTCTTGGGTGCAAATAATTTCTATTATATGTTGCAAACAAAGGTTCGCTAAAGAAAATCCAAGCTATATTTGATCTCCAACTACTATGGGCCCAAGACAATATGATTGGATTAGATCAATATTAAGGTGTTTTTTGTTTTGTTTTGTTTTGTTTTCAGTATAATGGGCCAAAAGCCCTTTAAATCAAGTTAAATAAAAATTAAATTTAATCCATTTTAATTTTATATGTATATGGAATGTGGCATTTTTTTTAATGGGGGAGATTATAAAACTAGAGGGTAATAACATGACCTAACTTTTAAAAGTCAGAAATCACTGTATTAATCATTTAATTATATATAACAAAGTTAATATATTGCTCCTCAAATATGGATTCTACTAATTTGTATAGCTAATATGATTGCATATATTCTCCTGTCTATAAATTTATAAATACACTAATAAACTATTAAATTGGATTTTTTCATGAATATATTACCAATTCCAGATATGTAATGCATTTACTTTCAATGTGGAAAATTCTGCACAGACTGTATATCTTGAACACTGCTCCTGAAGACAGTCATCATTTCATAATTATAAGTATGTTTGAAATAAGTAAAAATGTTCAGAAAGAAACTCAGACACATTCTTCAAAGACTACAAGTAGCATTCTAAGCCATGTGTAATATACTTGGTATGTGGATGTGTTTGTGGTTTTGCAGAATCATAAAGAAGCTGTATATTAAGCTCAGGAGCTAATCAACAGATTTGTGAGTTATCAACCAAGAACACCTAACACTGCCCCCCTCCAACCCCCTGGCACCTAAAATCTGAAGCTGTGTGAGAACAGTTATCGTGGAATAAATGTTTCAAGTGTTTCCAGCTGACAAACAAACAACCAAGAAATAGTTACAAGGCATCACAAGTAATAAATCCTGTGTTGTGGAGATGAAAAACTCAAATGTCTGTGTTTACTTTTCAGTGTGAAGAAATGTTTCTAAAAAGGAGTTCAGATTTTTATAATACGCCTTTGTGTATACAGCTAACAACTACTACTTTATATGAGAACACAATCCAGAAGTAGTTCATAACATTACACATTAATTTAACCTACACTGTACCGTATAGCTATGATGATATAAGTATAAAGTTGATGATGATTTCAGGTCAAGAGGAAAATATACATTTATACATATTTTAAACTTGAATATTTAAACAAAAACATATTTGACAGACTTATTTGAAAATATGCTCTAGCATATTGACAATGTAGACTATCATTTAAATACTGAAACTACAAATTGGAATTACTAGAAATTTCTACGAGAGTTTACATTCAAGGAAGCAAGCAAATTCAGATTATTACAAGGGATCACTTTGAAACATAAATATATTGAAACCTTTGCAAGCTTTTTATTAGTAGTAGAATTAGCAGGCACATCAGTTTCCTTGCAATTCTGATGCAACGTATCTTGTCAAAATAAATAACTGCAATAAATACACTAGTCATTCATTATTAATTTCTACCATTAAGATTAAGTTTAATTCCCAGGCATGACTTACAGGGGTATGGTTAAGGAAAATATGTAAAAAACTTTTAAAATCCATTTATCTAATGAAGCAGCATTCTAAATTAATGTTGTATATGCAATATTATTATTTGCAAAGAAGATATGTTTCTGGTCTTAAAGAATGTTGGCAAAACAAGTTTAGTTTTAGTTTAGCTTAGTTGTCAAAAGCACAACTAACCAATCCAAACTAAAATACAGCCCTTGAACTATGTTCATTTTAAGTAGGTATCCCTTAGGCCAGCTCTCTTGTGAAAGCATCACAGAATCTTTTGATCCATACTGCCCTTGATTACGCTTTCTGGGTACAAAGCAAGTGAGGCCAAAAAGGGACATTTGCTGTCTTCCTGTGGAGAGGCTGGGGAAGTAATGAAGAGAAAGACAGAGAGAATGTGGTGCCTTATTTATTTTGAAAAGCAATACTATTTTATTGCACTCTTTAAGAAATTACCTTTGGAACAAAACATTAAGGCTTACTGAGATTCTGTCATCATTTCTTCCCTACTAAAAGGTCACTGCAGTATCTTCATCTTCAACAGAGCTCTTGAGCAAATCTCATTTCAGCACCACGGACAGCAACACGTCTACTAGGACAAGCGCCCATGGTTGCATTAGCCATTTCTTTAAAAACTTGCATACACTTCTTTGTGAATCAGCAAGGATTATAGCCATTATTATATTAATAGGAAGGAGTTAAAGGTAATATACGTTATTAATGAGTTCAGTATTTTTCATTCATAGATCAAGCATTTGCCAATTAGTACCACTGGAGAGCATCCTGAAAATTCAAGCTAATTACATAAGGTGGCTGATAAAAAATCTAACATTGATCAGTTATCACCAGATACTTAATTAAAGCTTTCTACTCATAATGAGTCTCCGATCAATAACTATACAAGTTTCTAAGAGAAAACAGGAAACTTATGTGAGTAAATACGCTTAGGTAGGCCCGCAGACTTTCCAAATGGCCAGAACTACCCCTGTAAAACAAGTAAAACACTTTTTTAGTTCTTCCTACATAAACAGCCACAAACACTTTCTCTTGTCCCTTCGGCCAACCAGCTTAATGATGTCACAATCAGAGAGCTCATGTGTAAGGCCCATAAGCCAGACCATACATGCCTGTCTCAGACTATTCTCATTTTCGCTGCAGTCATCAGTATGCAATCCCATCCCTGTCTCCCTAACAAGCTTCACTCAAATTCCATTTAAAAAAAAAAAGGCAACAGAGTTTGAACCAACTCCATAGCACTGGCTTTATTATCTCAGAAGACCAGGGTCTTCCTGACCTTCCCAGGATCCCAGAAGAAGGCACCAGTCCACCAGCAATCCACGGGATAGTCCCAAATCAAGCAGCAAGTCAAGCTCTTATAACCACAAAAACAACGGTGAAGTAACAAAAAAACCAGAGTCCAAAAAACATTTTAATACTCTAGAAGACGCCTCAACCAAACACACACGGATAAAAGCACAAGGATGAGGAAAATCCACTGTTCCTACCTTACAGTCCTCAGGACACGATTTCACCGAGTACTCCTCCGATTGTAAGTACTTATGGAGCACGCTTTCAAACTCTTCGTATTTCTCCTGAGCGTGGTGGTCGTAGTCTTGGTAAGCCTCGACGCACTGCCTGCAAGTGGTCATCTCACCGCCCTCCTTGAGCACCACATCCAGACTACAGTTCAAAGTGTTGGGACTGGACAACCCCGAGAACAACTCCCAAAGTGTGTAGGAATTACAAAATGAAAGGTAAAAATCCGACAAGTTCCAGAGCGGAGTTGGATGCGTGCCCCTCACCTGCTGCTCCTCCCCCGCGGCCGCCAGCCCCCGACTCCAGTTCCCGGCGCACACGGCGTCCGCGCTCTCCACCGTGAAGCACTGGCCCGAGGAGGCGCCCTGGGGGTAACAGGTCTCCAGGCGCCACACGGGCTTGGCAGAGTTGCCCAGAATAAAAGCCTTGCCCCGGTTGTTTCTGCCTCGGCTGCCCTTGCCGCCGCCGCCGTCTCCCGGGGAGGGGGGCAGGGTGGGGGACGAGGAGGCGGCGAGGAGTCTGTGCGCCTGGGCGGCGGGCGAGGACTCCCCCATGCTCGCCAGGAGCGCGGGCCAGGAGGGCTCCTGCCGTTGCTGCCGCTGCTGCTGCTGCTGCCGCTGCCGCTGCTGCCGCTGCTGCTGCTGCTGCTGCTCCTTGTCCCGGGTCCGGGTCAGCTTGGCCTCGGCGCAGAACCACAAGTGATCAGAGAGCAGGACTGTGAAAAACAAGAGAGATGCCAGAGACAGTCGCCATTTCTGAGCCCTCTCTGAATCGATGAACGGTTTCTCGTTCTCCCGGGGTGCCGCCAACCAGATTTTTAACCCGTCGTCATACTGCCGACACATCCAAGCACCCCTGGTCATATTTTGGGAACGCACAGCCCTGGCCGACTCCACCGTGAGGGCTCCTGTGCCGGTGTCACCACGATATGCATTGACTTAAAGGGTTTAATTTCCTTATCCCCTCCTCCCGTTTCTTCTCTCTCCCTCTCCCTCTCCCTCTCTCCCTCTTTCTCTCTCCCTCTTCTCTCTCTCTCTCTCGTTTTGCCTACATAAATATTACCAGGCTTTGGAGGAAGATATGACTTGCTTCCGACCTAATCATCAGCCGACCCCATCCTCTGTAGAGTGGGAAACAATAATGCAGAGAGAGAGGCTGGGAGGGAGGGAGGGGGGGGAGAGACAGTCGGAGGCTGGGGCTGGCGGCCGGCGGTGAGCGGAGTGCAGGAGGTGATGGTGGAGGCGGCGGAGTGGCTGGCGCTGCCCCTCTCACCCAGGCACTGTCAGGGCGCGCGTCCCCATGGCCCCGCCGAGGACAGCCCTCTCTCGCCCGCCGGGGGCATGCCGCGTCTCCGCTGCCCGCTGGCGGCGACCAGAGCGCCTCCCCAGCTCCCTCCTCTCCTCCTCCTCCTGCTCCTACTTCTCGCTCTCTCTCCGCGAGTCCGGAGCCTGGGCCGCCGCCGCCGGCAGGGCTCTCCCTCCCCCCCACCCCCCACCCCGCGCTCCAACTGCCGCTGCCGCCGCCGCCGCAGGTCTGCCCGCGGGCGCAGCCGCCGCCGGGCTCCGACTGCTGACGCCGCCTCCCCCGGACCTCGGGGCCGAATCGCCGGGGCTGGGCCTCCGGAGAGCCACAGTCATCTTCAGTCCCCGGCTAAGTTGCCGCCATCTTCGTCCTGGAGAAACACTTTTTTGGGGGGGAGCGCTGGGTTTTGCGTCATCTCCTCCCGCGCCGAGATGTCTCCATCCTGGCGCATTGGCACGGGGCTCGGCCGGGGCGGAGGAGGGGGGCGAGGACGCCGGGGTCCGGCGCGGCTGGGGGGGCCTGCACTGCTGCGCTCCGACGCTCGCTCTTCCCCTTCCGCACACCCTCCCCACGTTTTGGGTTTTTTCTTACTGTTATCACTGGATAAAGTCAGAATGCGGACCGCAAGGTTGAGGATGCCTGCAAATTTCTTCAGCATCTCCCGCTCCCTCTCTGACTCCGGAAAAAGTCCGAGTTGCCGGCGGGTGGTTAGAGGCTTCTAGCGGGGCGAGGGTCTGGGTGTCACCTCCTTAACTAAAGAATAGTCGACTTCAAATGAAAGGTTGGGGGCATGGGAGTGAACATGAATTGGCTGGCGGAGGTGGAGGAGGTGACATCTGATCCCTCTGCATGTGCCTCAGGATCCCTTAGACAACTAGAGATCAACAGCTTCCCGTGCATCAAATCATCTTAAATGATTTTAGTATACGGAAGGGATATGTGCGCGCATCGACATCTTTAGCTGTATATAGGACAGCGACATTTTTCATAAAGTAGAAGGAGATTAGAAGTGGCCTCATAGAGTCTTAGGAAAAACTAGTAAGACCTCGGCTCCCAAGGCTCACTGCCCAGCGCAGAGTTTCGAGTTCGACACCCTGACCTCGGAGGATTCCCCCTCCAGCCTGCAGCACCCCAAGCTCCCGGGACTCCCGCTCCGAAGGCCTGCGCCCCAGCCCCCACCGAGCGGGGTTTTGCTATAGCCCAGGACTTCCACAGCAGCGGGCCATCAGGCTGCCCGGGTGGCAGCCGCGGCAACCCGAGCCTCTGGTGCCCCTTAGCGTTGGCTCTCGGAGTTCCGAGAAGGAAAAGCCTCAGTCGCTCTGGGAAAACCAGGGGTTCTCTCTACCCCGCCTCACGTGGATCAGTGCTGGGGGCAAACAGCAGTCTCGTTTTATCTGAAGACCCTGCCCACTTCGCCCCTCACTCCCACCAGCGCTGCGAGGGCAGGAGACCGTGCCGGGGCCAGCGCCTCCCCATGCGCGCGCACCCGGAGCGCAGCACTGTCCTGAGCTCTCTCTGGCTGTCGCAGAGGACAGCGGTTTGTTCCACCGGGCACTCACCGTGTCAACCTCCCTTCCCTGCTTCCTAATGACTGTACTATTCTGTAGGGTGCACATTCACATGGGCAGTATTAGGGTGCCATCATTCCAAGCAGCTATGTTGAGAAAACAAAAGGATGGATCATCCGTATTCACATTCCTTAAGTGTTGGCAGGAGGGAGAAGTAGATATTTTTTAAAAGGTGAGTTGCAAAAGATAATGGGCCGGATTCAACCAACCAGTCCTTTCTGCGGAATACTAAATTTTACCCATGTAAACTGTAAGTTTCTAAAAACGATATGCAGTGACCGTCAAAGCTTGGTGCAACGTGACAGCTTTTTGATCTGTGTCATGTAATGTTTTACAAGACAACCTGTATAAGTATATACCATGCTGGCACTTTGGCTTTTAATGTGTTGAATTTTAGCTACATAAAAGATCTAGAAACTAAAAGATATACTTTCTATGGCAGGTTTGTCCTTACCTTATAGCACCTTTCAGTAGGCAAATTTCCATGTTGAAAATTAAACATGAAATGAAAACATTTTATCTGAGCTTTGTATAGGAAGCCAGCATAAGCTGAGGAAATAGTCTTTTCAATACTTCTCTTTTGATAGTTTAAATTATTTTGACATTGAATACAATATTCTCTCAACCAGTGATATGGATAAAGATATCCTTTGGAAAAATCCCTGTAAATTTTAGAAAGCATTTTGTTTGGTCCTCTACTTTTTTCTTAAATTTAAAACGTCAACCCTCTTAAACCAAATCAGATTTAAGTACAACATAAAGTCCACTTGTAGACATAAGTGAATATATCGGTGTGGCATTTTCTATTGTATAAATAAATACAATACATGTGGAGGATAATATCAGAAGTCTTGATTTCTACTTCTCGATAAAAGACCTTGCAGAACATGAAATTGAACATATCATATTCTAAATCCTGAAATGATTCTCCCTCTCTTTTGTTTTGAACTTGTTGGCCCTCTGTGATAAAATATAGATGAAGTGTAATAATCCAAGGCCTTTCTTTCTATAAACACAGGGTGAGGATTTTTTTTTAATTAAAAAAAATTTAAGGAATTTTTTTGCTTATCCGTCTATCTATTTTTATCTCTATCTAGAGGCAGTTGTTTAATACCTGGGTTACAGGATTTAATTTCATACTTCTTTCTCTTACCTACCTCTTCATTTTTCTTCACCTTGTTTCTTCCTAATCTAAAGATGCTGCCTGGACAGGTTTATATTTTTCTTGATCTCTACTATGCAAGATAGAAAGCTCAGAAAATCCTTGGCTAAGGAAGTCCACATGGTGTCCTTGAGTGGGGAAGCTCACACAGAAAGTTCACAGGCAGACTAGACTGAGTTTCAGAGCAAAAGATGATCTGAGCGTGACTGGCTTTTTAATGTAAGAAAGCAAAATCCGCCAGAGCCCTTCTGCTACCCCGAAGGGAGAGAGGTGGGCAAAGTGACTGTTAGGGTTCCAAGGCTGAAGTGCCTGACTGGACCCCCACTCCCCAGCTGTGCACCACCCAGCCACCACCCAACCCTGCTTCCCCCTGCCCCGTGTGCCTCTGATCCTGGCAGTTTGGACTTTCAGCTCAGGTCAGACTTGCTCTTGTTCACAGGGGTAAATAACACCCCAAGTGAACGTAAGGAAGACCTGAAGTTATGCTTCCAAGGAAAAAGTGGCAGATGTTCTACTGAAATGAATTACCATATTTGCTCTTTTTTTTCCTCAAAATACATATTTCTTGTCCCAAGTCCAGCACATCACAATTCTTACTAACTCTCTTCCCCAACTGTCCACTCCATGCACATTTTCAGCTTCAAATTTCATGTCCGGTAGGCTGGAGTTGTGCTCTCTGTTGAACGCTCTCGCTACTGACAGACAGACCCATTACCTAGGGGATGGACTTTAAAGCCAAGGATCAACAGAGCTATTGCAATCAAAGCATTCACAACCACTCCAGACAGTGTTCCCCGGCATCGCCTCTACTGACACATGGGGTCAGACGCTTCTCCAGCATGGGGTGGGGCTATACTTCACACCAGGTTCAGCCACCTCTCCGGCCTCTACTCACAGCACACCAGCAGCACACGCACCTCTCCCCAGTTTTGGCAACTACAAATGTCTCCGAGCACTGCCAAATGTCCCCTGGGAGCAAAATCACCCTCGTTGAGAATCACTGCTCTAGAAACATCTCAAAGTGGTGGTTTCTTAATTCATATCTGCATGGGAGAAGTTCTGGCATCACAGATGAACCTATAACTTCTGCTTTATATACAGGGAACTTACAATCGTCACCCAGAATCACCACCTCCTCATACATCTCTTGTTACAGAATACTTTTAAAAGACTAATATTGAAAATACTGCAACTCCCTTAACCTCTCACTCTCTTCTCTATAGAAAGTTAAGGGGATACGTGACACTTACTTAAATCTGATTAATGTCAGAATTTTTCTCCATAATTCCGATAAAAATATTATTTATTAACCAGACTGTTCATTAATCAGGCAACTGTCTGTTTGTACTTTATACATAGTATATAATAAACTGAACTAAATATATGTGTATATGCTCATAAATGTAATTACTATTACATGCACATTAAATACAATATGCACATTGTAGAAAATTACAAAATGCAAACAATTTTAAAAGTCTTAAGTAATCCCAACACCCAGATATAGTCACTATTTCCATTTTGCAGTATCTCTCTAACATTTATTTTATATTATGAAACCCCTGTTTTGTGACATTTACTAAATCAGATTTCTTTTAAGGACTGAAGTAGGAAGTCTGATAGCATACGTATTCACATGTACTAGATAATAAATTTTCCCCTCAGTACTGCATTGTTAATTTTAACCAGAGACACACGAATTCTAATGGTGTCTCAAAATATTAGCATCTCTCTTTTTCCCTGAGCGTGTGATTAAATCAGAAAGAGAACTAGGAATGGGGAAAAAAAAGAAATGAACAATATATAAAATTAAAGGTGGCGCAGTGGTTGAGAGTCCGCCTGCCGATGCAGGGGACACGGGTTTGTGCCCCGGTCCGGGAGGATCCCACATGCCATGAAGCAGCTGGGCCCATGAGCCATGGCCGCTGAGCGTGTGCGTCTGGAGCCTGTGTTCCGCAAGGGGAGAGGCCACAACAGTGAGAGGCCCGCGTACCGCAAAAAAAAAAAAGGTTCATTACTCTCAAACAAGGGGAAGAAGCAAAGTCAGGCTCTGTTATTTTTACCTTAGTATTAGTCATATCTAGCCAAACTATGTCTCACAAGATATTTCAATGATGCTTAGTAAAAGTCTAATACACTGCAATAGCGTTTTACTAATTTTTTTTTTTTTAATAATTGGGATAATACTTTCTACAATAGCCTATAGTCAATTCTTTGTTTTTAGGTAATCTGGACCTTGCCCCCCTCTTATAGTTCCCATGAATTAGGATGTTTTAAAATAAGACGACTTTAAGGGTACATGCCCTCTGAAAGTAAACTGTCAACAACCAATCCCACTTCTGCTTGCTATGTGTTGGTCCTAGAATGAACCATGAGGAGGCTGAGATGACAGACCATGTCCAGCCTCTTGAAGCTTAGTCAAGGGGGAGAGGAAGGGACGGACTGGG